CGCTAGTAGGTTGGAGGCCATTGCTTCTAGGTTGGACCTCATCGCTACTGGGTTGGAGGCCATTGCTTCTAGGTTGGACCCCATCGCTAGTAGGTTGGAGGCCTTTCCTTAAGACTGCAATTCTTTTTGTTCCCTCTCGGGACGGAGACATGGCTCAGGTCCGCTTGCACACCATGAGTCTGGACCGGGTTTTCGCGGGCGGAGCTGGCTCCGTGTTCCGTCGGAGACCAGACATCTTCAGTGTAGCCGTTTTGCTTCCGGCAGGTCTTGTAGCCAATCAACGCAGAATACTTCATTCATCGTTTGAGGGACAATGCAGTGTAGTAAGCCTACAATGAGTAGAACTTTGGAATGTTGCCAGTATGAAGAGATCCAAGTTGTGATCAGACTATGGGAAAAAAATCCACTGAAAACAAATTCCTTCTGGTCACGAGAGGTCCAAATTCATCTGATCAAACAACTGACCAGGAAACACCTAGATGCATTGCTTCAGTCTTGCTTCAGCAACTGCTTGGGTTGTTCAAACAAAATTTCAATTTCTGTCCACTCACTTGCTTTCTTCTCGAGGATCGGGTGACCTCAGCATCTGCAGCCACCTTGCGTGGACAAGGCTGGCATCCGGGATCTGAAGCCAAGGATGCAGTGTCCGGGCACCAAGCTGCCAGCTACGGATCGCTCTTGGGTTGGAGGCCACAGTCCAAACACATCGTGCAGGTAGCTGTGAAGAGCCGCGCACAGCTGTAAGTCACCCGGATTGACCAAGGATTCCAGAGGAGGTGGCTGTGAAGAGGCTTCACTTCTTGTCTAGATAGTTTTGCTCCCTACAGTGAACCGGTATGCTTCTTCAAGAGTGGATTCAGATTCTGATTCAGCTCTTGTTGGATGAATGCAAGTTGATTCTTGTGAAGACTTTTGGATGTTGCAGACTTTGGTAAACACTGGGGCCCCAGAGGCCTCGAGATGACGAGGAGGAGAGCAAAGGGAAAGGCCAGCAGAGTTTTCAGGATGTATTGCCAATGATGTTCATTCACATTGCTCAAGTTTTGTGCAGATGATTTGTGCAACAGCACAACATTGAATCTCGGCAGAGTTCTGACATTTGCAAGGCAAGGGCAAAGGCAAAATGAGCGTAAAGGAGAGGGAAACTCCATCAAATTACTCTGTCGCTCCGTTGTTTTTTTGACAGCCGGGACTTCAAAGTTGGAATGCTACAGGAGCTGACCCGGCTCAAACGCCCCTTGGTGAGATAACCAGACCAAATCGAAGCTGAGACTCGAGTTCAAGCATGTTTGGTTTTACACCTGTTTGGTTTGACTATACAAAAAGCCTCGCAGGTTTTAAGGGACAATCTGGTATTGATCACAATGGCAAAGTCTGGAAGCCAGAGGTTCGGGACCTCGGACTGCGAAATTTGAGAGGACAGAGATTGAGATCCAAAAGGATTTGTCAATCTGAAGCACTGACTCAATGTTTCATGATGTTCTGGAGTTCTCCTTGCTTGTGTGGAAGCATGTGCGAGCTGGAATGAGAACTGCTGTGAACTGACTGTTTTGGACAGAAACATGAGATGTGCTGCCGAGATTTGGATGCAGATGCGGAATGAGTTTGACTGAATTTGGACAGGAAGAACCCTTCTCCTGTGCATTGCTTGCCTAGTGTTATCACACGGCAGGGATACTCTCATGATCTTTCATGTACTGTTTTTTAGGTTCAATGTGTCATAGATCAACAATTATCTAATTTGGCTCGAAAAGTAGCCATCATGCTGCCAAGAGCGTGAGCAGCCTTTGTGGTTGAAGCAACCAACCAAATACGACAGAGGCTAAAAAGCAAGAGGAGGGGACCGAGAAAGAAGCCATTCCTTGCGAGCACTTGAAGATCAGCGCTTATCAATGGGCCCTAGTAGCAATGGCCTCCAACCTAGTAGCGATGGCTTTCAACTAGTTTCGTGCTTCCATGTACCAATCCAAATACTTTTGCATCAGATTCTACTCGTTCGCCCGAATCGTTCTGAATCTGTTTCGACGCTGTCCTGCACACCCCCAGTTGCAGAGTTGAGCAGTTGAATTAGCGTGAACCCCAGTCGACCTCCGTGGGCATCGACAGATCCAGCCCTGAAAGAACCATTGTTTGCTCTGAAAGAATAGCTACTAGGAGCAAGGACGCGACAAGGGGCTCCTGGCCTTACTACTAGGGGCAAGGACGCTACTAGTAGCATCCTTGCTCCTAGTAGCGATGCCAGGAGCCCCTAGTAGCGTCCTTTGTTGATGCATCGCAGCTTGAGGTGGCCGTGGGAATAAATTTCTTTGGCTCAAACAGCTTGAATAACAGGTGCGACCTGGGGTGTGCTGCACCGGGCAGATCAGGTTCCCAGCTCAGCAAACTGTGTTCTGTGCCTCTATGACTACCCTTGCCCTCACCTTGGGCGCTCCTGAGCTTGCTGAGCTTGCAGAGCTTGCAGCAAAGCTCAATTGTTAAGTTTCCCTAAAGGAACTAAATGAATAGTGCGTGAGCTATCCTGCGTCCTATCTGGTCAGTAAGCTTACCAGGAATGCGTTGGCCCTTGCTCAATTAAGTAGCTGCCTACTTAGTTAAGTAAGAGCCGGCTGAAGAATCCAAAAAGGCTCTTGAGTCGTTTGAGCCCAGAGGCCAGAGAAAGCTGATGGCCATTGAGGCGGGGAACATGCTGAACAGTCGTTTATTGCAAACAACGGCTAGGGATCATGCTGAGGAAAGAGGAGGAAAGCAGATTCTGTGTAGGCCATTGCTAGTAGGTTGGAGGTCATTTCTACTAGTAGGTTGGAGGCCATCGCTTCTAGGTTGGAGGCCATCGCTATTAGGTTGAGGTTGGAGGCCATTGCTATTAGGTTGGAGGCCGTTGGCATTAGGTTACAGATTCTGTCCGTGGGTTTCTGCAGTTTGACGGATTTCGGTTTCTGTGGCTTAAAGCATTACCTTTGAAGAACAGCTTTCAGGAGTTGGAGCAGCTGTCGGAAGGGGCACCGACCCAGTACATCGTGGCCCAGGGCGTTTGCTTTTTGAAGCCCGGAGAGGACAGGATGAGATTTGTTTCAACTTGTGGATTTCCGTCAAAAGATTGAACTTTATTTGTCGAGTGCAGGATCCAACATCTCAGAAGATTCTGAAAGCGAAGCGTCCAGTGGGGTCCAAAATCTCAGTTCTCATGTAAAGTAATTGAGATCGAATTACAACATCAGGACATGCATATTGTGTTCTTCTAAGTGCCTGTTGATGCAAATTCATATGGCATACCGGCAGAGTTCCTACAACATCGGTGCTTCACTCAAGGAAGCTCAAGGAAGACAAAAGAAGTTACGTGGATTGCTTCACATCCCCCAAAAAGGAAGCAAGAAGCTACTAGTAGCAAGAAGTTCGTGTTCACCACTAAAAGTAGTAAAGTCGTGGCCTTTCGGCCACCAGGATTGTATATACGGTATATACGTCCTTCTGTCCTGGAGCTGGTTTTCAGCTTCCACTTTGCACTTTGGGTTTCCAGAATTAACCCCCTGATAGCTTCCAACCTAATAGGAATGGCCTCCACAATAGTAGCGATGGCCTCCAACCTCATAGCATAAGGAATCTAATAGCAATGGCCTCCGAGTTTCAGCCGTTTCACCAGCCGTTTCAGGTTCCCCAGCCGGGTTTTCGTCGTCTGTGGCATAATGTTTTACCGTCTTCCTGTGTGCCCCAGAAGTAATCGCATAACCTGAAGCTACTAGTAGCTAGAAGCTACTAGGTGGAGGCCATGGCTATTAGGGTGGAGGCCATTCCTATTAGGTTCCTTTTGCTACTAGTGGCCTTCACACCGGCTTGAAACAAACGCTGACACGATTCCACGATTTGTCACGCTGTAACTCTTGGCGCTTTGTGGTTGAAGGGCCGGCATTCTTTTTTCGTTTATAAGCGACCATTCTCTTTGCCTCTATGCAATCAATGCCTATTCATGCAAGATCATGCAACATCGAGATCTGATTACCTTATCTTCACGGAGGGAGACATTTATGCAAGACAATAACATCGGCAAGCGGCAAGGTCCAAGATCTACACAACCGGCTGAGTTCTTAGTTTGCCCAACATATGTGTAACTGCGCATACAGGATTGGTTTGAGAGCTGGTTTGCTGCCAAAGTAGTTCAGCGACTTTGGCAGCATTTTTCAACCGACCGAGGAACCATCTGGAAAGGTCCTCAAGGAGGTGTTTGGGCCGAGGCCCAATCATTTAACAGAGCCAGGTTTAATTTTGATGGAAACGCAGACAAGACAGACAATGCGTGATTATCGGCTGCATGTCCTAGTTGTTGGGAGAGCCTCGTGTTGATTTAATCAAATTCGAGCTAAACTTCCCAGTGGATTGGATCCTCCTTTGGTTTAGTTTGAATAACAAAGACTGACACGACACACCTTGGGACTCCAGGTCGATATTGGCAAATCTCCAGGTGAGATGGGTGGCTTGGACTATTTCTTGCCGGCCGGTTGAACAACCGCCGAAAATCGTTTCGAAGGGCATGGCCATTGCTATTAGGTTGGAGGCTCTTAGGTTGGAGGCCATCGCTTTGTGCAGCACCGAGGCTGGGCATTGGTTGAGGGTCCTGGATTTGGATTGCGTGGCCCTTCCCTGTGCAACTGACCTGGATTGGTCGCAGCGGCCTTTCTGTTGCTTGGCCGCTGGTGAATTGGTGAATCGGACGCTTGGCCAGGATTGATCCGGAGGCCAATGATGGAGCTTCACAGATGATTCACATCAGGTGCCGATCATGGAAGGGGATGTTCGCTGTTAGGGAGATCAGCTGTGAGGCTCCCCCCCAAAAGCCACGGTAAACACGCTTCAGTAGGAACGTCCGCTCTGAGCTGACGCGAAAGGACACACCTGAGCGGCGAACGCGAAAGTGAAGTGTGTTCGGTTCGACGTTTCGTAAAAGCTCCACCGCGAAGGCTTGGCGAAAGATCTTGATGGATTGTCAAGTTTCAGGTTTAGATTCCAACCCAACGGTGCACTGAGAGCCAACAGGTCATCGAAGCCGTGTTTGAATGAAGCACTCGTCCTACCACCCTGTAGATTTTGAAGCACCAGTCCCAGCATCCAAGACTTGGCAAAGCAAAGACTTGCAAAGCATATGCTTCTGAGCGGGACTCTCAAGTAGTTGGTGCATTTGGCGCTGTTTTTGCACCAAAGGATCAGTGATGTCATGTTGCCGTATGGAGAGCAAGGAGCAAGCCATCGATGAAAAGGAGCTGTTCCGCGCAGACAGGACTTGCGGAAGCGAACTTTCGCCACGGGGAGCTCCACTCCGCGAACTCTTGGCAGAGCAAGGGGGAGGAAGAAACGACCGCGCCCTTGTGGCTGGTAAGTGTTCTGGTTCCAAAGCTTTCAGGGCATCGCTACTAGGAGCAAGGACGCTACTAGGGGCTCCTGGCCGTACTACTAGGAGCAAAGGACGCTACTAGTAGCAAGAAGCTACCGGGAACAAAGGGCATCGCTAACACATCGACCGCATTTGGGCCCATCCACCCAACTTTGTTCAGGTCCCCCCTCCGATCCAGTTTTTGAACGATCTTCCACCGAAGCCTTTTTTCGAAAGGTGCATGGGGCGAACCATAGTTGGGACGGGGCAGCCTCAAAAAGCAAACTGTTTCAGTTCGGTAGGTTATGGTGTTCCTCACGAACGGCCGGAGAAAGAGTGGAAGTGTTTGTTTGCTCCTAGTAGTGATGCCCTTTGTTCCTAGTAGCTTCTTGTTACCAGTAGCTATTAGCTCCTAGTAGTACGGTCAGGAGCCCCTAGTAGCTTCTTGTTACTAGTAGTAAGGCCAGGAGCTACTAGTAGCGTCCTTGCTACTTGGGGCTGGTGCCTCGAGACTCTGCCATCAGCCGCTGGTTTGCTGAATGTTGTGGCTCCGGACATGCTTTCGTCAAAGCCATCTTTGGAAGCGTAGTCTCTGCCAAGGCGTTGTCTGTGGAGCGTAGCAAAGAAGAAACACCAATTGGCCACGTTGAGTGTTCATGCCCTTCCAGCTCCTTTACTTCGTCTGCATCCTCTGATTCAGACTGCATCGCAAGCGCACCAGGGTGAACAGCCATCTGCGCTTGCAACAAAAGGTGTTCAACACGGGTGTCGTCGCTCCGAACTGTGTTCTGCCCCCACAGTCGTCTGCATGTCGCCAAGCCGCTGAGCAAACCTTGTTGACTAAAATACACGGCCGCGAAAGAAAAGACGCGCCACGAAAGGGTGGTTGAAGAGTTTGCAAAAGAGAGGCTCCAGTTTAACATTTTTGTACAAGGTTTTGGTCACCGTTCACAGAACTTGTGGAACTTGAAGTATGTTGACACACCTCATTGGCGATGTTACACACATGCCACGCGATTGTGCAGGTCAAATTCTTGGACTATAGACCTGAAGTCGAAAGATCGATCTTGTGATCCGCATTTGGATAGCTTCTTGCTCCTAGTAGTATGGCCACGAGGCCCCTAGTAGCTTCCTTGCTCCTAGTAGCGATGCCCTTTGCTCCTAGTAGCTTCTTGCTCCTAGTAGTAAGGCCAGCAGCCCCTAGTAGCGTCCGATCGCTTCTAGTAGTAAGGAGGCCAGGAGCCCCTAGTAGCTTCTTGTTCCTACTTGTGCAAACTTCTATCCTCAAAGTACCTCGAAGTCAGTGCCACGATTTTTGTTCATCGATTGTCCCGTAGGTGGCTGAAGGATCCGCCCATTTTCAATTGTTTGATGCCAAAGACCGCGCCTGTCTGGCTTGTTGAATGATTGTCGACTTGGACAAACTACAGTTTCTTTTTGAGTATGTGTTTGTTTCCTTGCTAAATGTTTTTCATTGACACTGCAGAACCGTGGGCGACTTGGTTGACACCTTCTGTGCCAGAACAGGGCTGAATCGCAAGGCAGGTCCGAGTGCAATGGCGTTCGATTGGAGAAGGACACCAAACTTCGATTTCCCCCTCGCAGATATTGAGAAATGGTCTAACGCACAAGACCACAAACCAGAAACGATCTAAGTGACGGTTTGTATTATGTAGATTCCCATGAGGAACTTGTTAGCTTTGCACAGCCTCGTTCTGAGTTTCCAGAAACATTCACCCCACACAGACGCCACGAAGACACCAAACACATTCAACACACAAAAGGATCAAAGCAAATGAGCCGTACGCCCATGGGTATCCTGGATACACATTTCAGGTCCAAAAGCCCACCATTTCGGTGCGTTCACCTGGTGTTCACCCGGTTGACCACGCCGAAGTCTTGTCACGGCGAGTCCAGACTGTAGGAAAGCTAGAAGCGTGCAGAAGCTTGACCTCCAACAGCGTCTTTGTGAGGAAACTATCCTCACCAAGGGCTTGCCAAATAAAGCACCAAATGGCTCTGGGGCGCTCTTGCCTGTGGACTACACTGATCCCAAGGACCTTGCAGCATACCTTCGAGAAGTCACATCTTTTTTGGATTCAGCTGTGTAAACAAACCATTTTGGTTAACTCCTTAGGCGTTAACTCCACTCGTTTCCTGGTTCCACTCGTTGCCCGCTCCCGCCCTCCAGGACGTTCTCTTTCGGGAGCTACGGCCTCAGTGTGGGCCACGCGTTGGAAGCTGTTCGCTTGAGGGTTTAAGGTCAAAGGCGCTACCCAGACTGTCCTGTTCCAGGCTAAACTGATCTGAAACAGGATGCTAGACATTTGGTTTAAATGATCTGAACTGCTGTCGTAAAATCATTGAATCCAATACACTGTACACTCTTCTCTTGGTATCTCTGGTTGGGGTGGACTCTGTTTTCCCTGCCCTACAGCACAGAACCCAAAGGATGACCATTGAGGAGGCTAAGTCAGTAGCCCAGATGGAGAGAGAGAGAGAGAGAGAGTGTGTTGTGTGCACCTTCTGTTCTGCTCAAGCATGATGACCATGCTTGACATGAGATTTGTCCTGGCGGTGTTCGATCGACGCACAGCTGAGGATCCGAGATACTTTGAACTTGGCCGCTTGGAATCACTGATCACTCAGTGTATACTAGTAGCATCGCTACTAGGAGCATGGACGCTACTAGGGGCTCCTGGCCTTACTACGAACGGAGGTGGAAGCTACTAGGTGGCCATCGCTATTCGGTTGGAGGCCATCGCTACTAGTAACAAGAAGCCGTGTTGTTTCAGAGTCAGCGTCGCAACCGGACTTTCGGGGTTGGTCGCCGGTTTTGCTTCAGCAGCACGTCTCCAAAGAGACGGACCGCAGGTCTATGTGGGTCATTTTGACGAGGACTACAACCCCAGCTGAGGAAGTTTTAGTAGATAGGATGAGAGACTATGCAGTCTGAGCCGTTCCGTTCAAAAAAGCAGCTCCACGAAGATGACAGAGACAGGAAGCGAAAGGTTCATCCAGTTTTCAGGGCCTTTTGTTTCTTGGCACAGAGGCATCCGAGACACTTTGCACAAACGAGACACACGCAAATAGCCATGGCCTCCAACTCAATAGCGATTTGTGCATTTTAAGTGGTTGTCTTCTTTGTTCTGAACTTGAAGCAAACTGCAGGGGCTGCAAAACTTTCTAGCAGAGTGTCGAGGCAGAGTGTCAAGGCAGACTCAACAGGAAACTGTTAGAATGACTGAAAACTGAAAAGTCATGGCATTTGAGCCTGCCAGCGCGTAGAACAAATAACGCTGCAAGAAAAGCCCCGTGGGCCCGAAGAAAAAAATACAACTCTGTTCAGCCGCTGACAGCACTGTTTGGTTTTTTGTGTGCTGCGAACCCTGTTTCAGAGGACCATAATCTTTGTGACAACTCTTCCTCTTAGAACTGTATATAGAGTCAAATGTGAGCCATGCAATTATGCCATGCCTTGGCGTTGGTTCTCGCGCGGGGTTATTGCCAGTCTCACGCTTTGTGTACTGCTAGCAGCTGTGCTTAAATCGCAACAAGTTGAGCCAGGCAAAGTTCACCTCAAGATGCTTCAGGTGGCAACATTGCCACCAACTCCGCCATCAAATCCGCCCAGCTCGACAACAACTTCAACTCAACCTACCTTGACATCAACGAGAACAACCCGAACGACCCGAGCCACAAGCACCACATCCTCACCTGACTTTGAAGGGCTACGAGCTGCCTTCTGTATTACAGGAGAAGTACGCACATTCACGGAGCATGTGGTTCATCGCTCAATGCAGCGGAATTTGATCGAGGCGTTTGGTGTGAAGTCCAATGTTTTTTGGCATCTCAACAAAGAGCGTTCGAATATCCAACTTGATGCCGCGAGGAGAGTGTTGCATCCAGTGCACGAAACTTTCTTTGTGCCACGACCGAAAGGTGATTGCCATTGGCTTGGCCATACTGTGCGATCACAGGCAGATGCCATTGAGCAATGCATGAACATCATTAAGACCTTCGAACACAAGGAGGGCATTCGCCACCACTTCATTTTTCGTGTTCGCTCAGATTTGATCTTTATGCGCCCGTATCCTCATGTGAGCTACTTTTTTACACCTCCACAACAGCCAAAGGCGCTGTATATGCTTCGAGACTGGTTTTGGATGGTTCACCGCTCAAGGATGGAGGATGTCTTTAGAGTGGCAGGAAGCAGCTGCCATGAAGAAAACACCTTTGAGCCTATAGTTGCGAGACGGTGGAAGCGCCTGAGGAAACTTCCCATCTATTTTCAGTGCTGGCCGAACGTGTCCTGTCCACATGATATGCTAATACACTGGATCAACGGGGATCCACACTGGATCAAGTGGCATGTGCTGCCCTTCTGCGTTGTCTCCAGGATGAATAGGACCAAGTCAGGCGAGATCCGCGTGAGTCTGGAACAGTGGGGTAGACTTAATGTCTCCGGAGTGCCCATAGACATGTTCTTCGGAGAGGACGAGGCGGACCGCTATGTGGACGAATGGCATGCGAATTCCGTCTTTGGCTGGGGAAAAGGCACTGCGCAGTCCGTTTTAGGATGGAATAATAGGAAAGACAAGAAAGAAATGACATAATAAGGAAGCAAATAGACAAGAACAACTGCGTTAGGCTTTAGGTCTTGGACTTGTTTTGCGTGACACACTGATTTTTCCGAAAGAGCTTAGGTTTGATTTATCTTGGTCCTCCCTGCCCCCCTTCCTCTAGCAGAACTTAGTGACAAACAGACTTTCCCTTCCAGATGTTGTCGACCCAAGCATCCAAGAGATTCATGTCGTAGTGAAGGTGGCAAGCGCATTTCATCAGACTGCTTGACTGCTCAAATCCATTCTCACAGCCTTGGTGACATAGAAGGACACATCACCTAGCCTTGCTCAGTGCTTCTGTTTCCTGCTGGACAAAGTGCGTCCATGGGCTATTTGTCTGCAGCTTTTGGGAACTTAAATGTATTGTCAAGTTGCATTCTTTTCCTAGGTTGGAGGCCATCACCATTAGGGTGGAGGGCCATTACTATTAGGAACAAGAAGCTACTAGTAGCTAGAAGCTACGAACGGTTGGAGGCATGCCAGTTGTGGAAACTGCCCTAAACTGGTCGAGCTACATAGCATCGCCTTGATGCAATGATTTTGTGGAAGCTGCTCGGTGTTTGGCCGGTGCGCCACTGAGACCAAGACGCCACTGAAACCGAGAACTTAGTTGAAAAACATAGAAAGGTGGGGATAGGAGAGCTCACTCGAACTGCCCCGAACTGACTGCCTGCAACTTGTGCTTTGCCAGGGAGAATACAGAATACTGTAATTCATTGTAACTCACAATGTACTTTGAACGTTCGTTTAGGCTCTGGGCTTTGATCTGAGCGGAATTCTTGGGGGGCCCGTGCCTCAGCTACGGCAATCTCTTACCAAAGGCTTGTGCAGATCGAATGCACAAATGATTTGACACGAGAAAGACACTAAGCCGAAGCTTCAGGCAGCATGTACGCAGCTCAGAATTGGCGGTGCTTCCGAAGCTGTTCTTGTAAGTGCTTCTGAAGCTGTTCCTGTAAGTGCTTAAGCTGGTGGTCGAAGTCCGTGGTAGTCCCTTGAAGTGAGGGCTTTGATTTTTTTTGCAAGCTTTGCAAAGAGGCTCTTTGCTCCATTTGTCGATGCCTTTTCAATTGAGGCAGTTGATGAACTCACGGACAAGACTTTTGCACAGCACATGAAGGCCCGTGATTGCCCATTGCGGTTCTTCATGCAGATGTGCCATCCGGTCACATGCCATCCGGCTGTGACCGCACAGCCCAGGAGAATCCAGTCACAGCCATCATGTTCTATGCGCCCTGGTGCTTCTACTCACAGCAGGCCAAAGTGCCAAGTTGTTTTCTTGTGCCAAGTCCCTCTGTATCAATCTGGTGCACACCTTTAATGCAATCATTGCTTTATCTGCGAATTTCGGCTCAAGACACCTCAATGCAGGTGAAAAGACACCTCAGATCATAAGTGTGATGCTACATGAGGACCGATGGTGCAGGCCGATTTCGGCTTTGGAGGCCATGTTTGGAGGAGACATTCTTTTTGAACATCGAAGGAACAAGCACGCGAAATGAGCTTTCTACATCTTGCGACTATCGTTTTTGTTTGAGCCTTCTAATGTATGTACTGCGAACCTTCAGGTGGTTGGCACGAAGCCAAGACCGAGGAGTGCGACACTAAAAGCACCTAGGACCCACGAGTAGTCAAAAACAAGACGAATCTTTTTTCTGCAACTCTTTGGGAGGGATTTCACAACTCCTTGCAAGGGATTGACTTGCTATCTGAGGAATGGGATGTCCGCAGCTCAAGGTCCACATCAGCAGGATCTACGCAATCTTGGAGTTTACCTGGGTTTTCCAATGCCACAGAGACCGATCTTTCTTCGGACTCCGTTTGTAGCTTTCCTCAAACGATGAACCATGCATTCTTTCGGCTGCACCGTCGATCTGCTGCAGTGAACAAGATCAAAGCGAAGGTTCCAAATCTGTACGAGAGCAAAGGTGTTTACAACTGCTTGGAGCAAGAGATTTGGCCCAACCGGAAGGTGACCACCTATCAGCGGTGTTTCGGCGCCAAAGCAAGGGTCCGCCCCCAGCGAGGCTCCTTCGGCCCGAAAGGAGCTGAGCTTCCGTCCCGAAAGGCAGAGATTCTTGCAACGCCTGGAGCCTTGCCTGGAGCGCCTGGAGCCTCATCTCAAATTGGTGAGAGGTACAGGTGTTCGCCACTAGGGGCTCCTGGCATCGCCACAAACGGAGCAAGGATGCGTCCTTGCTCCTAGTAGTAAGGCCAGAAGCCCCTGGTAGCGTCCGATCGCTCCTAGTAGGTGTTTTTTCAGGAACTTTTTCCATACTTTTCAGCCTTTGAAGACATGAAAGGTACTCCTCTTGGCGAAGACCCGGTGCATGTGCTTTCTGCGGCCATTGCATCCCAAAAAAGCCATAGATCTGATCAGAGACTTGGCCACCAAAAGGGGCACCTTCAAAAGCCCACTACAACTCAAAATTGCCTTAGGCTTTGTATGGCTTTGTGTATATATATATGTTATATACGTGTATATATATATATTTGTATCTTGGCTGGCAGTGTTGTTTTGTTTAAAGCAATTGCTTTGCCAACTTAAGCATTTGCTGTACTTGACCGAGGAAGAGCGAGATGAGTCCCCCGGTATCTGAGTTGGGTTCGATTCCCCTGTGTAGTATTTTTTCCTCAATGAGCCGGCCAAGCCCAAGCAGCCCAAGCCGCCCAAGCCGACCTTCGAGCTTACGACCCAAGAGTGCCTCAAGTGCGAGCGCGTCTCGCTCGAGAGGATCAGCCTCAGCCTCGGCACTACGTCCAAAGTCGGCCATGCCACGCTGCGGCGCTTCCGCCACGGCTTCCACGCCTTCCACGGCTTCCACTTCGCGCGTGTGCTGGGCAGCGACGTCCTTGACTGCCGGATCTTGCACTCCATCCACTCCACGTGGGAAAGAGAATCAAGAAAACGAGACTCCTGAGACGGCAAAGCTGGAGGCAGAGACAGCACAAAACGAGAAGCCAAGAGGAAGTGATCTTGGCTTCGTTGTGAGGACCGTGGTTCAAGGATGAACAAGAATCAAACGTACGCTGTAAGAGAGTGCACAAAGGCATTCTATGGTCCACTTTGGATTATGGATGTTATGGATTTGTTGTTCTTTTTGTGCTTGCAGGGGCCCCATTTTGGGATTTCACATGTTTTGGGCAAGCAAGAATCGCTTCTGTCTTCTGTGCCCGACATCTTTTGTAAACAAGAATTGCTTTGTGACCAGGAACCGAAGTAGAGTGAGGCATGTGGGCTGGATGAGCTGGATTGAGTAGGACTCGGACCGATGGTCTGAACTGACAAGACTGTAGATATCCGTAGATAGGTAGGTGAGCCTCGGTCGCTCAGGCTGCTAAGAGTGGCCTTCGAGGCGTATTCAACATTGCTTGGTGAAAGCATCATGTTGGATGAACGACGCCAGGTAAGGTTGCTTTCAATCTCTTGGGTGAACCACTCTCTTCTTTGTGGGCCGAGGAAGGGACGCTTTGTCGTCCTTGCGAAGCTGTCTTTACTCTTGCTCAAATGCAGAAGCATAAAGGGAGCGCATCTCAACCAACCTGGCATCGTGTGTGTAGGATTTCTAATCTCAATTCCAAATCTCATTCAATTTGAGTGCTCAAGACGGGCATCGACTTAAAGTTCTTTAAATGTGCATGGATACAAAGGGAATTTACTGCAATTGTGGCCATTTGTAGTTGGTAATTACACGTCCATCTAAAGGAAAGCCAGACGTGTTCTGTTGCTTTTGGAAAAGTGGCTACGGCTAGGGGATGCGAGTACTTTCTTGTTCAAAAACCCATGAGGAGTGGTTTGAAGTGGCCAAGACCAAGACTGGTGCAGACTCTGTACAGCTTGTTCGGACCAAGCCCTTGGCTCCAGTCCGTTGTCAATGCTCAGGTATGAAGGAAAAAGACATTCCAGTCAATGTCTCTTCATTAGTGGTCCCAACAAAAGAGGGACAATATAATATATAACATTTGTACACGTACTTTGCAGCCCTCTTTGAGGTCCGAGAAAAGGGGCGCCATCGCTTGCATGGTAGCGGAGCCCGCCAGGGCTCCTGCTCCTGACCCCCTGTGAAACCGGTGTAAGTCCCGAGTGGCGTCGGTGTAGGTGGCATCCTGTAAATCCACGTGAAATCTCGTGGTGTGGACTCGGCATAAATCCCCGTGCAGGGGTGGCAAGCAGCGCACATGGCCGCGCCGCTTACGCCGCCTCAGGCCTTTGACCTGGCCGCTGCAGCTGCTGATGGCTTCGAGTCGCCTACGTCCCAACCACATCCTCTTCTACCTCAGCCAGTTCCTGGTCCACGCCTAATCGACACGAAGGCCATCGGAAAGCTCAGAGGATTCAGTGGAAAGGATGAAGATTGGCCAGCTTGGGTGTTCGTTGCACGGGGCTACGTGCACCTGCTCGACCGTGCTTACCGAGGCATGCTGGAAGCCGCTGAGAATGCCGCCTCCCAGAACGAGCTGTCCATGATCGATATGAGTGACACAGCCCAGGAATTGTCGACTCTTCAACCTGCTCACCCAGAGCGTCGACGGCAGAGCTCTCCAGATCCTGGTGAACGTGGAGGGCCAGAATGGGTTCCAAGCCTGGAAGGCACTATGTGACGCCTATGAACCATCAGTGGGTGGACGCCACATGGCCATGCTCACGGCCATCATTGCGCCCGACTGGAAGAACATCAAGGAGTCCGAGATCCTTGAGACGATCGAGTCATGGGAAGCGCTGGTGAGACGCTATGAGATGCAGTCGAAAGAGACAGTCTCTGAGTCCATGCGGGTTGCTGTGCTGATGAAGCATGTTCCAAGCCCGGTGAAAGATGCCATGAGAGCTGCTGGGACGCAGATTGGCACGAACTATGAGAGGGCAAAGAAGTTCATCCGGGACTACCTGCAGACCGGCAACATCTACAAGTCTGGTGGCGCACTGGACAAGGATGATGGAGGCTTGGCACCTATGGATGTGGGAGCAGTGTCCCATGCAGAGAAGGGAAAGAAAGGCAAGTCAAGCAAAGGAGACAAAGGAGTCAACAAAGGTGGAAAGTTTGACAAGCAGGGAAAAGGCAAAGCACCCCATCACGAAGAAGTTCAATGGCGAGTGCTCATACTGTGGCAAGTGGGGCCACAAGAAGGCTGACTGCCGCACCTTGGTTCGAGATCGAGCACGACGTGATGGTGACAAGGGCGAAGGCAAGAACAGCGCCAATGCAGTGCAGAGAGCTTCGAGTGGCTCAGCATCACCACCATCACCTCAGGGAGCATCTGGAAGCAGCACCAATGCTGTCTACTACTGGATTGACCCCGACAATGACGAGAGGAAGGCATGGGCCGACACCTATGACATCGAGGACGAGTACGACGATGAGATGTGGGTGATGATGATTCACAAGGCCAACAAGCAGGTGAGTGAATGGCACCACATGAACATCTCCCAGCCTAGCGGCACCTCCGTGAAGTACCTCCTTTGGACTCTGGCAGTGATGAACACCTCTGCCAACCTGTGTTTGGAGGCGATCAGCACACCGAAGAGTGCCGAGCTGAGCTGCTAGGGATTTCTGGGAAGAGTTTGGGAAAGCTCGGAAAGAAGCGAGTGAGCTACAAGATTGTGGGCGAGGACGGCAACTTCCTGAACGCCATCACGGAGTTCAAGGTGAGTCAGCAAGCCAGCAAGGACGTGCTATCAGCTGGCAAGATGAGCAAGAGTGGGTTTGTGGCTGACATGAGGAACAAGTTCAAGCCATACCTCAGCCATCCTGACATCTCATTCAGGATTCCTCTTTACATCCACAGGAACTCCTACTACATCAAGATTGTGGATGACGAGGCCGTGCCGTATGACATGAAGGTGGAGGCCACCGTGGCACCGGTGGTGAGGCAAGGTGACCAGTACGACTGGGAGTTCGCTGGTGTTGACGAAGATGAAGAAGGGATTGAGATGATCCCACTGCCTGAGGAATTTGCTCGTGATGAAGCCCATGCTCGCGCAGACCGCCAGAAGCTGGTGGAGCAAGGTGGCAGATCTTCGAGCACGACTCAAGGAGTTAGATGAGCCCATCTATGGCGACAAGCACACCCTGTGGACAAGGCTGAAGAAAGCTGAAGCTGCATTGAATGCACGAAGGGCCTCTGCAAGGGACTATGTGGAGAAGCGTAGCGAGAGGCAGCAAGCCTTGCGAGAAGGGCGTGGAGCTGAAGTTCAAGAGCTTCCAAAGCCAGTGATCCCCAGTGACGAGGAGATGAGGCAGCATGCTTTGACACACCTGCCGCCGCAACCATGGTGTGAATTCTGCGCTCGAGGCCATGGAGTTGAGATCGCTCACAAGCGGAGAACCCTGGAGCAGAAGCTGAGTGACAACCACTTCGAGCTTGACTACAGCTTCTTGAAGACTGACGCCAGTCTGGCCGACAAGTTCGAGGAGTGCAGTGACACAGTGCTGTCAGTGGTCGACACTGGCGCTGGCATGGGACTGGCCTTCAGCATCCCAGCCAAGAATTTGGGCATCCCCTACGTGGTGAAAGTGATCACTTCCTTCATTGCCCAGCTGGGATATGATACAGTGAAGCTGAGGTCAGACAACGAGCCGGCAATCAAGAAGGTGAAGGGGCAGATCGCTGAAGCCCTGAGGAAAGGTGAAGCGCCTGGAGCTGCCGGATTGAAGATCATCTTTGAGGAGGTTCCAAGGTACAGCTCACAGAGCCTTGGAACGATGGGGGGCATTCCAGAAGTTGCTTCGTGGAGATGTCCTGACCTTGAGGTATGCAGTCGAAGCGGAGTATGGCACCACATTGCATACATCCCACAACCTATGGCCCTGGTTGGTGCGCTACTGCTCGTTCATCAGATGCCGCTATGCAGTCAAGTCGAACCAGCGCACAGCCTACCAGGATGCCTTCGACTGCCAGTACACGTCACCTCTCATCCCATTTGCGGAGACGGTCCTCTTCAAGACCCCCATGAGTAAGGCCAGAAGGGCGCATGGGAGAAATGTGATCACCAAAGGTGAGACGGCATGGGCAAAAGGAATCTACCTCGGCAGGAGTGTGACCAGCAACGAGTACCTCCTTGGCACGCCAGATGGCACCGTGTCAGCAAGATCTGTGAGGAGATTCGCCGACAGCGCCAAGGCCCATGACCGGGACCTGGTGGAGGCCATGATTGGGGTGCCTTGGGACCAAGGAACCACCATTGGACGTCTTAAGAGGAAGATCGAGGCAATCATGCCGGGGTCAGTTCCTACGGAAGCTGAGACTGATGAGAAGAAGGCCAAGACCAAGACCTTTGAGGAAGAGCCAACAGAGCCAACACTCAATCAAGGCGGGCCATCGTCCGGTAGTGGACGGAATGACGAACCCATCCTCATCAGCGAGAAGCCTGCCAATGTGGAGCCCTCACAGGAGGCGATGGAGACAGAACAGGTCATCGACAAGTCCCCCATGGAGATCAAGGTCGTGCCTGGCCTGGTGGAGATGATGAAAACCCAGAGAAGAGGGCACGCGTGGGCGGAGTATACGTTGGAGCACTGTACTCGCCGACCGAGGATGTGATCGTCTATGAGGAGGATGTGGAAATGGCAGCGGTGGACTCTGACGATGAAGAGAGCAAGCCTTTGACGGCAGAGGAATGTGCACAAGGCCGAGAGGTCGAATATGGGAAGATGGACAAGTACGACACCTATGAGCCTGTGTCCTACCAGCCCGGCGTGAAGGTGCTAGATGCCACCTGGGTGGAGGTGCGAAAGCCGGACGGAGCAGTCAGATGCAGGTACTGCGTCCGCGAGTTCAAACGAGGTGATCCAAGGACTGATGTGTTTGCTGTAGCCTCCAGTACATCGACTTCAAGAGTGGTGGACGTCATTGGCATCAAGATGGGCTATGCGTTCATGACTGCAGACGCCGAGAATGCTTTCTGGCAGGTTCCCATCAAAGAAGATGCCTACATGCTTCCTCCGAAGGACTGGATCGAGAAGCAGATTGAGGCCGGTGTGACCCTGCCTGAGAAGGTGGTTTGGAAGTTGAAGAAGGAATGGTATGGGAGGAGGATTGCTGGACAGTGATTCGTTGAATGGGCAGCAGGGCACCTTAAGGACTTGGGGTTCAGTCGCAACCCAGCTGCACCCTGGCTGTTCCATGACTCCAGCAAGGGCATCCTCATCAAAGTTCACATGGATACTTCTTTGCCACCGGACCGCAGAGATCCCTGGAGGAGTTGGAGAAAGAGCTCCACAAGAGGATTTGAATGAAGAGCCAGATCCACCCGTTGGTTGAGGGGGAGAAGTTCACGCACCTGAAGCGCACAAGGGAGATCTATAGCAATGGAATCTTCATCAGCCCAAGGTCCAAGTACATCACCGACCTGCTGAAGATGTTGAAGCTTGAGAATTGCAACCCGGCACCTACTCCCTATGTTCACAGTGATGTGAAGGAGGGTGGAAAGCTCAATGAAAGCAACACGAAGCTGTTCAGGGCTGGAGTTGGCATTGCATTGTAC